GTTAATTTGTAATCCTTATTAAATATTTAACACATCCCATCTTTTCTAATGTGTTGCGTTAAAGCATTACTGTCACTTTATCCTAATGTTAAAGGTTCCACAGTCCCATTAGTGAAGCCCTTTTATGGCCATCTGATTTTTATGCATTCAGAGTTAAATAATAAAACCTAAATTTGCATAATTGCCTGCTTTATTATGACTAAATACTGTTGTGGTGATGGAGAAAGTGCAGGTGCTGTCAAACTGCATGGATCCAGCTTTGACTGTTTCAGACAAAATGCCATAAAAATAACTAGAACGTGGTGTTCGCGGCCTTCTCCTTCTCTGAGAGAATAGTTTCACTTAACAGGAGGAAAAAAGTATATTTTTAGGAATCAGAATGTATTCACAGACATGCCTTCTTCAACAAAAAGTCGTAATCATTAGTGGCATCGCTTTGTAATGGACTGCGTCTATATTTAACAATGCTGTGAACACATGCTGCTACAAACACAACAAAGTTAAAAACAGAAATACCACAGAGTGAGTATGAAACCAGGCAGTTCACACAGAAGCTCGATAATTAGTGAGACGGTTTTAGAGAGAGAGGCAGGGAGGCGAGAGGAGCTGTCCTTTGTGCTGAATCAGCCACCCAGGCTGCGCTGCTGGTGCTCTCTGTGGACTCTACAGTCACCTACATGTGCCTGCAATGTTTAACCTACATGTTCAGCCTTTTCTCTAACAGCTTCTGCACAAGCAAGGAGGATACACGGATTTACCTCAGCCTTTTGGTTTGAGCATTCATTTGTTTGTGTTTGAGTAGATTTTGCATATAGAACAGTGAGATGAAACCTTTGACATGGATGATAACTAGCACCTAATTCACTTGTTTTAAAGTGGAGCCATGTTGTAGTTTTTAAGACAGATGATGCAATGTGGGGCTGAAAGTCTCACAATCATGTTGTTTTACAATCCTAAAACAACTATCTATGTTTTGCTAACATTTATAGTTGAACATATAGCACATAGCACCTTAGTGAACAGGAATTAACACACGTAAAAATGATATTTGAAGTGTAATTCAATATTTTTTATCACGACAAAGTAACTTTTGTTTACACATGAGGTTCAAGGAAATGTTTGCTTGTTTAGGTAATATTCTGTCTATGTTGGTAGCACCCGATGTCAGTCCTCCTTTGCCAAAATAAGTCAAATTTTGGTAATCATAATAGTGAGCTGTCACAGCAAATTATTGCTGGTATCAGTGTTTTTTAGGTTGCATTCATCAGGATTATTATTGTGCTCAAAACGCTGCTAAATTAGATTGTAATGTTCTTAATTCTTCTGATTTCTCCACATTTCATAAACACTTCTTCTCCTCAGGATTAAAAATGACCAACGGTCACTAAAGAGCTAGAATAATTGGCTCAAGTCTGGTGTGTTGGAGGAGAGAAACATTAGTGGACAACTGGACATCGTCTTCAGGTATATCTCTGAGGAAAGGAACAGTTCACCAGCTATGTGTAGTTTGTAGTACCAGGTGTTTGTAACAACATGTTTGCTGCCAGGTTCAAAGTAAATCATTTTTAAAAATTGCAAAACATTGTACAAAAGCCCAAAGTAGTTAACATTTAAAAGGGACGTTAATGTATTGTTGAAATCGACAACAGTTTTAAATATTTTGGCTATTTTAAAATAACATTTCTGAACGTTGGGTCAAATTTACACTGAATTTTGTGAAAGAGACTCAAAAACTATCAAAAAGCCAATCAGATAAAGATAATTCATGTGATGTTGTAACATTTAAACACAGGTTCTCAACTAAATGTCCATTTCTGTAACAGCGAGAGACATTGAGGTATAAATTTTGACATTGTGAATGTAATATTATGCACAAGTTTGTCTTATTTTTAATATTGTACCACATCTTTGAGCGTCATCGCCTCTCAACCAATCACAACAGGCCCTTCTCTCTTTTCCTGGCGTTTTTCTGTCAGACCAATCAGGACCAACTAAACACTCAGCCACGGCAAAATCAAAGTTATTGTAAGAAGTGCGCGCGCGCATGTGTATGCGTGCGCGAGGCGGTAGGAGAGGCTGGAGGCGGCGGAGACCGACAACAGCCGGGTATTTTCTTTTTACGAAACAGTTATTATTCCTATTTGAACCAACTCGGAGTCTTAAACCTGGAAAAAAGAAGCCCCTTTCCCCTCTCGCGCTCAGGGACCGCTAGATGCTGCTGATAACCGGCGTGTTCATTAAATTGTTCCGGTTCGTGTAAGGACCAGCGTAGCGGGCTCAAACCCCTTTATGAATAGTTTTCTTATCCTTCTGTCGCTGTGGACTCCAGGGGATTTTTTTCGAACCGAGATGACGGAGATCAGCGAAAAGGAGACCGAGCCTCGAAACCGGGACCTCAGTAGACAGGGTGCCGCTCCCAGGCAGCCAGAATCTAAGGTAACACACCTGCGTCAACTACACCTTAGTTATACCTATTTAAACTGAAGAGGGACGAAAATGTGAGTTATTTCCTACATCAAAGGAGTTTTATTTCACTTCAGTTGTGTGCTCAGCGTCGCGAGTGTTCGTAAATCCTAATCAGTGACTAATCTTGTGCTTTTCTGCTTTACGAAGCTAATCAGGGTGTCTGCTGGTCTTACATAACAGCTGTAAGCTGCTGCAAGTCTCCCACCTGGTTTGACCTCAGAGTCAGAGATACTCTGATGTGGTGGAGTGATATTGGTCCTTGAGTGTCGAATCCAGCCTGCTTAACCGTTTCCCTGCTCAAACACACCTGATTTTAATAAGTAGGTGATTAATAAGCTTCTACGGAGCTTGAAAACAGGTGATTCCACCATTGAATTAGTTGTGTGGGAGCAGGGAAACTTCTAAAACATCCTGGATACGCGGCGCTTGAGGACCAGGATTGCCTACCCCTGCAACTACACATTTTTACCTAAAAAATAAAGAAAAGGTTTAGTTTCCTTGAATAGTGAAAGGCAGTCCTTGTCCATTATTGGGTTTCTTAAAGAGAGACTTTGTGGTTTTCTTTGATTTGAGCAACCCCTAGTGTCCAGTTAGTAAAACCAAAAATGAAACTTATCTCCATCCTCGCTGTGCATTTGTGTTTATAACATCTTAATCTATCTGGTGAAATGTCTCCTCAGCCATCATTAGTGTCTACAGGAGCAGTTCATCAATAAATAAAACAAATCAGCTCTGTTTACGATCCAAAACATGCACGTATGTCAGCTGTACTTTTACTAAGTCATACAGGGACCGGACTGGCACTCTGAATTTGCAAGTGTGATATTCTGGCCACAGTGGTGGTGGGGTTCTGAGTGACATTTCATTAACCATGCAAACATTCATTTTAGCACATACTGGATCAAGACAATGATTAAAAAAACTGCATAGTAAGCTTTTAAATAATAATAACGATTATGAGTTTCAGACTGGCCAATCAGCGGTTTAGCCTATAATGCAATTTAATAAACTTATCAGAAATCCAGACTGTAAAGAACAATTGCTTTTTCTTTTTTTTGCTCCTAGCATTCATAAAGGTCTACAAAAGTAATTTATTGGAAACATTTCCACTTAAGTGGTCTTGCTGCTGCTCATTTCCCCCTCCAAAAGGCAGCGTCAGCTTAATCCAATTTTATTCTAATGTAATTTATGTGATGAAGTGCGGGAGAAAATGCTTTGGAGCCTCAGCATGCAGTTTGTCCCACTTTGGAAAGCTTAGATTGGTGAACCTTATATCCTTAAGAAAGATAAATCAATGCTGCTGTAAATTCTATAAAAATGTCATTTACATATTTATTTAGCCAACCTTTAGCCTCGTTTAAAGCGTAATTGTTTTATATCAGGCTTTCTTGATCTACCATCAATGCAGAAGCCGATGTGGGGTTTTGTTTTCTGTGCCATGTGTCTGTCAACAAGATTATCCAAAAAATGTCCGGCTGAATTTGAAGAAGCATGGTCAAGATGAGGAGCATAGAAAAAAGAGTTTGTTCTAACCTTTAGATGACGTTCCTTTAAACTGTTTAGTCAAGAAAGACTTTCAGAATCCACTTCTGTTTTGTTTTCAAGTTTTTTTTTCTTACAGTGTCCAACCTCAGTCAGGACCTAGAGCCTAAGGTGTGGAACACTAAAAACACATTTTTAAATTATTATTTTGATTATATTAGAACTCCTTCAGGCTTGTGTTATTTGTGGAAATAAAACATCAATGCTGCAAACAGCCAGTTGTAGAGTTGTGTTACTCTTATCCGATCAGAGGTGAGATGTTCAAATGTCAGGAAATAGAACTCCAAGACCCGATCGCACTCCGCCCTACGATCTTCCGTGAGGTGCACTTGGAAGACTTGCGCAGTAAGGCTTCGAGTGCGTGGTACACCAGTGTGCTAATAATTGCCAAATTGAAACAGGGATCATTGCGTCATCGACTGCAACGCATGCCGGGATGTTGGTCGCTGTGCTACTTAAAAAAAAAAACTTTATTAAAAACTTTCAAAAAAACAACCAAACAATTCTTTGAAATTCCGTTACATTCATTGCTGCTTTGTCTAAAACATTCAGGTCATCAACTAATCATCCTAAAGTGAACTGCTTTTATTTGAAAAGAATATTTTCAGAAAAGGCTCTTGACCCTTTGCTCCCACAGCAATGGATTGTGGGTAATACCATTCACCCAAGTCTGTATCGATGGAGACTTGGGTGAAGTGTGGATCAGCGGTGCAAAAGGGGTATGGTCAACTTCTGTGTTTGAGAATCGGAACATCCCATGCACTCGCACCCCTGGCGAGGATCGCATAATTGAAGCGCGCAAGTGTGGAAGTGCGAGTATTGGGAATGTGGCATAAATCCTGCCGTCTGAAGCTCAACTCTAATGTGGCTCACTTCTAATTCCTGAACCTGGTGCACTGGTGCTTTGTAACCTCAGAGTACAACTTGCAAGGTGTTCATTCCTACTAGAGACCACTGCACATGCATTGATTACTCAAGTGTTCCATACGTTTAAGTGTTTATCACACAGGATTCCTAAATTTCCTGATGGTGCTGGAGTTATCGGGCCCTGGGATGGTTGCTTTCGACTTCTTGGTAAAGTTGATTAATAGGCTGACTGATGTAAAGGATCAATATTTGCAATGCAAGTGTAGTATTTTAAGCAAGAATGGTACTTTGTGTGTTTTTTTTTAACATGTTGGTTTGGGATGACTCTCAGATTACCTTCAGTGTTCAGGACCGTCATTGACTTCCATTCATGTAGTGATTGGATTGTGCCTAATCCTTCTATTGTCATGTGCAGGTTCTTGGCTGCACTTATTTTTAAATCCAAGTGGAATTTGGTTTTGTAGAGCGTTAAAGATAAAAGTTAAACCAAAGTGATGTACCGTAATTAAACAAGGGAAAGTATTAAAACAAGATATAGTTGAAATAAAACTGACATGAAAACACAGCAATTGAATTAAGCTACAGGCCGTTCTCAGCACCAGTCATACAATAACCTGACTGCTATACAGTTCTTCAAATCAGTCTCAAGTCATAGTTAAGTCACTGTCACAGAATCCATTTTCTGTATACAAAATGTCAAAGCTGCATATGTTCCCTCTCATCAATTTGACCTAAATCTACTTTTTTTCTTTATATTTCAGCACTTCCAATTAATCCCAAACAAAATACCTTAAAACCTGAGTCAGCTCACAAAAAATTGGATTGTGTTTTGTTTTTTGCTGCTCATCACCTAGAATAACTCTGACATGACCGGGTCTTGTTTTTCTTTTCATCTTAAGGCCATCGTGTGAATGTTGGGCTGTGAAGTGCTGCTTAAATTTATGGACCAATCACTGAGCAGATGTTAGCCCTATCTTGCTGGAGGGGTGGGGGTAGGTCATAATTCAGCCAAATGGTTGTCAAGACAAAATGGAATTGGGAAGAGATGGTTGTCCAAGCTGAATCAGTGAGGTTTGCCAAGGCCCTGCTGACAACCAGGCCTGCTTAAAATGCCACAGAGGCCTGAGGAGGAAAGAGGAGGAAGTTATTAATAACAAGCTAATAACAAGCTACATCTAAGGTTTCTAGGAGTAGTCTGCTTTTAGGTGTCATGTTGAGAGCAGGAGGTTTGGACCCAAAATTCAGAAATCCAGACAACTCAGGCAGGAGCGGTTGAATAAATGAAAAAAAAAAAATCCTTTTATTAGGATGATGAGTCATTTCCAAGGGCAGGAAGCCAAGCCAAAAATCTAGGAAAACTGAATTCCAAAAACAAAAGCTCATTTATGAGCAAGGACCTGGAGTTAGTAGAGGAGGTGCAGAACAACGCTGACAAAGATAATGGACCAACAAACACTGAGGGACAAGACAGGGTTTTTAACACAGAGGGGAGCAATCAGGGGAACAGGTGACAGGTGTGAGGAGTGAGGTCTGGAGGGAAGACAGGTGCCATTAATAAACTAAATGGGGAAAGAACTTAAGCAGAGGGGAGGATAAACCATGATCTATAAAACACTAAATAACTAAACCTAAAGACCAAGGGCAAAGAGAAACAACTAATGACTAGAGGGGTGAGGGGGACTAATACAAACCAATAAGAACAACATGGGAGTGACTAGGACGAAACAAGAGGGAAGCCTAGAGGGAGCTGGAGAACACAAGGAGACACAGAGCACAAGGGGACACAAGAGGAGAACGCAGAGGACGAACAGGAGGGGCTGTGGACCAAGGGGACAAATAACGTGACATTAGGTGTCTCTAGAGTTTTATGATTCTCTCAGTGACTCAAAGTCCTTTCTCTTTGCTGTAATCATTTCATAACCATCTCCCTTCCATCTTCTCAAGCTGAGTGTCTCATTTCCCTTCACTCTCCAGCCTTTTTCAGCCCGTCAGCTTCTCTCCTTCATGTCTCACTCCTCTCTCTCACAGTCTTTCCATTCGCCCTCGGAGTATTTATTGCATTGTTAAGTGGACCCAGCAGCTTTCAAGAGGACTTCTAATAGAGCAGTGACATACAATGAATACTTATTCCACCTCCTCCACCTACGGGCAAGGTGATGGCTCCAAAAATATTACTATTCCTCTGTAATCACCTGGAGCACCTGCCATTCAAGTGTCTTACATTTACAAATTGTATTTATGCCAACAACAACATTAGAAGGTCTCTTATGGCTAACAGAAAGAAAAAGAAAACAAAAATATATAACTAAAATACTCAAAAACATTCTAAAGGTTTAGCATATTTAATATTATAATTGATTAACTTAAGGTTGGTTTATGCTTGACACGTCCGTGAGGTCCGCATGGCTCCGCGCGGAAAAGTTGCGTCATTTTGCGTCATTTTAACAACCACGCCCCTGCACCGCGCCTCCGCACAGCCCGAAATTTCCGCAACGTGCACCAAGGAAATTTTCTAACCACGTGGACGGTTGGACGCGGAAAAACATGGCAGACCAGCAAGA